GGGGGGGGGGGGGGGGGGGGGGGGGGGGGGGGGGGGGGGGGGGGGGTTGGTGACCTTCTCTTTGTGTCCTCGTCTGATATTAGGCACCATTTGTGTCTCTAGAGTCTCCTAGAGCCGCTTGCTTCCTTCTACTACCTTCTTGGCACCTTTCAAAGGAAACTCTGGAAGAGCTGCTGCTCGGGCTGACAATTTGGGGTCAGTTGTTCTATTGGTCGGTCGATATGCTCTTGTACGACCAAATTCTCCTTGGTTTGCTTCTTAATCTGATCACTTTGGGAGGCGGGAGGGGCATGTGTGCCTCTAAAGCATACATTTGCACTGTTTGAGTTCTCAATTCCTAATTGAGCCAATTTAATACTGTTTGCTGCTGTCGAAAACATATTACAAAGAGAGGGCATCTGCAGTGTCAACCCTCAACTCACAGTAGTCAGTCTTTCTCAGGTGACCTCTCATGGCCACGTAGTCCGACAAGGTGTCATCTCAGTTGGGTCCACAGAGTTCATACCATTAATGTATCCACACAAAACAGCAATCAGCACAAGTGGCTGCCTCCCATAATCTTAAAAGCATTTTCAGAAGGACCACGTGTTGGCAGGCAGCTGCTCCACCCAGAATAATCTCCCCGGAAGCATAGAGTGTAATTAACAGATGGCCCCACTTGTTCATGAACTGATGTTGAGGATTTGGTGTAGTGTTGGCATTAGTGGCGTTACAGTGGCGGACAGTTGGGTCAGGCCTGTGTTTTATTGTGTGCTTGTGCATCTCCTGCATGGAGAGCAAAAATATTTTCACCATTCAAGGGCTAATTAACAAACCTTTACATCAAAATAAGACTTAAAATAAGATTCTTCTTCACCTTTTATTCAGTGCGTTTTTGTTTTGCCCATCTGCCCTACAGTGTGTTATTCTGCTGCTCTGGACTGTAGCCACAGCAATCAGGCTTCCACTGTAGGGTGAACGCACAGTGGCACAATACTTCCCCAAAAGTGAAGCCACAACATCTGGATCACCGCCTGGTGGCTGGCTGTTCATTTAGGAAGCGTTTGATTTCATATGCAGCATCATTTTCTGAGAGGAGCACGCATGTTAAACGTAAATGACGCAGTCGAACATTTAATTGTGTGAAGCCAAAATCAGTTACTTGTGCAGCCCTAGCTACAACGAACGATATACTCCAGTTACGGTGCGTTCACACCAAATTCGCGTCATTCGCGCGAGACCATTTGTGGTCTACGTAATGATGCCGATTTGTAAAAAGTTTGAATTCATTCGTTTTGTTAGTTCTCTCCGCAAGACGACAAGCAACAACTTTAAAAATACTTGTTTTCTCAATGGAGCTTGGATCGATTGGTGCTATTCTATGCTAACACTGTAGCAGCTCCATCCTCACTCAAAATAACGTCATCTACACGTAAATACTGCACCGTCTTTTTCCTTGTTTGTACCATATGGTTTACACACATACATTTATACACAGTTTCGTCCGGTCTCTACTAATATGAGGTATCGTAGAGCTCTGGGTGAACACCTACGGCTGCAGAATTTGTTTCCTGATTCAACAACGACAGGACATCAGTGATGACAGGAGGAGCATCTCAACGCCGATAGGCTATCGTGCCCAAGTTGAAAAATTTCAGCCCACGCGAAATTTGCGTCAATCGCGCCGCGCCATCGCAAATTTGCGTCTCATTGCGTCTGTTCATAGACTTTGTATGTAATCTACTCGCACAAATAATTCGCGCCGCGTTTGGTGTGAACACACCTTTAGTTTGTTTGTCTGTAAAAAATGTTGAAACGGTTCTTAGTAGTAGTATGATAGTCTAAATGTTTCTGTGTATTCCCTTGTGTCTCATACACATGCCTCAACGCTTATTTGGTTTGTCATACGGATTTATTTGTAAAGCAACTTTATTTTGCACAGTCAAGTTTTTTTGTGTTTTTTTTATTACCTCAGAATTTGCTAACAGCAAGACTTTTCCTGTAACATGCCACCCTAAATATACCAAGAACAATAAGTAATTCAAATTCCTGCGAGTAAAGTAACTTACAGCTTGTACCCTCACTGATGTAGCCCTGAGTAACTTCCCAGCGGGTCAGTGGAGCAGCCAGCAGAAACCTTCCTTCGATAGATGAAGGTTAGAAACTGTGTCACGCTCCAAGACTTCAAGAGGGGAAAACAAGCTGAGGCCAGACAGAAAAATATAGACTGGATGGATTTTTCAGGAAAAGGAGCAGACATCGCTGGCGTATTCTCCACCCTCTTCTGCTCGCACTAGAAACAGGCTGTTTATTAAAGGCCTGGAGCTACACCACCTTTGTTCGGGTGGAGACAAAAGGCAGCGGGGAATGGTGAGCAGGTTTCTGCTGCATTCGTATATAATAACAGAAATGAGGGAAATCTTTCGTCGTGCTTGTGTGTTGGAAAACAGCCAGTGTTGTCTGTTTGTTCTCAAATGGGATAGATAAGTAGGCATGATGGCGAGCTAGCCATCCCACATGAGGTCAAAGGGTATTTTAAAAAACCTAGTGCTATTCCAAGGCAGAAAATAAACGTAGAGGACCAAATGATGAACATATTGAAGTGGAAGAAATGAAACCTATGTTGCACTGTTGTCCTGCTGTGGTAACACTCTGCTTCTCCCTCCTAACAGATATGCCGTCGTCAGAGCAGCGCTGACACTCCCGACTCTGGTTCAACACAACCATGGAGTCCTCCTCGGAGTCCCAGCAGGAGCCTGAGAAAACCTTGGTGAGTCAACACACTCGCATATGCAGCTAGTGCCACAAGAAGAAGATAGCCAATAACCTGCTCATCAAAAAACAGGAATTATCAAACAATCGGGAATGCATAAAAAAAAACATTATGGTGCTTTGAAATGGTAATAGGTCCTTGTAACTGCTACACTTTTTGAACCTTGATTAACTTAAGGTGCTAGCTTGCCATGGGCTTGTCCGGCTCGCTGTGGCATACACTGCACTTTTCTGCCAGTAATTAAACTTGTCTGAGGTTCTGCGTATATGTGTGTCAATAGATGGACGAGACCGCTACACTCACTTTAGCTGCAAACACACACCCTGTTTCACAGTCCGACTGCACAATATGTCTCTGTGGAGTGGTATTCACTCACCCACACATAGAATACCACTCCACTTCTCTCAGCTCTCAGGAGTGTGATTCTGCCCTTTCATTTCACCTTCATCAAAAATCCCCAGTTGCCATTTTTGCAGCGAGCAGGAGGGCAATTATAATTGCAGATAACGAGGGTGATAACGGTTCCGGCCATCTCTCCCACGGGCCTCCGCAGACAGTGACACACAATGGGATCGAATGGGAGCCGAGCTAAAAGCCCTTTCCTACTTCTTTGAGTCTTTGCTGAGAGTGGGAGTGAGTTTTAATAACACTTCATGTCTGCTTGTAGTGCGAGCTAATTCCTCCCCCCGCCTCCTCCAGAGCCTATTTCAGTGGCCGCATAATCAAACTGCTGATGCATGAATTGATTTGAAAGCCACGTCGGTATATCTACTGTGTCTTTTGAATGCTTTCTTTTTGATTGAATTGAATTTTACAAATGTGTACCTCTCTCTGGGCCATTGCGTTACTTATCACCCGCAGTGCCGGGACGGTGTGAGACTCGGGCTATGGGACGTAATGTGTGGTTGTCCGGTCCTGCTGTTTGCTAAAAAAGGGCCCGTCGGTAGAGCTGATTGCTCCCAACGCGGGATGAAAGGCTCTGGGAAGCACGCCAGGTGTCTGGTGCTCTGACATCCTCGCAGTCAGGAGACGCTTCAGGAAGGGTTTATGGCAGCCAGCATTCAGTCTGCTGTCATTTGCATTGTACATACTGTAATGAAAGAGCTGGTGACCTGCTGTTCCGAATAGACGGCAGTGAAAAGGCACATAGACAGACATTATGCACTCCAACAATGGGTTTGGGGTAGCTTAGAGGTAAGGACACAGGATCCGTGACAAGGGGATCACTGACTGAGAGGATTTGAGCGGCTGAATGAGAAAAAAAAACGTTCATCCTCGGTGGCTGTTGAATTGCCCCTTTGGCCAGGCTCACCCCCCCCATTTGTTCCAGAGGTGCTTTACAGTTGCCAACAGTACAAGACTAGAAGCTCCGAGATAAGCTCAGGTCTCTCTCATAAATGTCTTTTTAAAATGTAGTCATTGCAATCCCTCAGGAAGCAACATGGGTACCATTCCCATCTGATGCAACACGCCACAAACCAGTTAGCATCAAACATAATGAGACTCATAATACGTCCAGAAGGTTCATGATTGAGCCTTCGTATGTCAGAGTTTGAGTTTTGAATAAAAATGAATAAAAACGTAAAGAATTGCCGAAGTGTGCATCTCTTCTTGTTTACGGCACATAAAGGCCTATATATCGACAGTCTGGAGGCCAAGATCACTTTCGTAATAAAAATCGACAATTGGTGTGTCCCCTAAATAGACTCCTTCCATGCGTGTCAGGAAGCCCTCCACGTCTCAATAAATCATCAGCATGAAAATCTAAAACGATATTTGATTACAGAGGCACCACATTCCAACTGCAACTTTTCTTTCGTGTTTAAGAAACACAGCGTTTCGCCTGCCCGATTGTGTTGACTTGATTTGGTCCTTTTTCCTTGATGTTTGTGCATCTACCATAAGTAGTAGGCTGAGTAGTTTATTATTTTTGGTCTGTTTTAATCGTGTTGATGATATTTCCTGCTTTGTTGTTCTCTAGGCTACAGATAAAGTTTAATGTCGTCAAAAGTCGGTTCTAAACCTTTGGTCCGGACGGAAAGATCTCAACAGCTACTGGATGGATTGCTATGAAATTCTGGACAGATATTCATAGTCCACAGACAATTTATGCTCATGAGTTTGGTGATCCAATTACTTTTTATCAAGTTCCTCCAGCAGGTCAAAAGCCTGACAGTCAAACATCTCAACATTTGCGTAATCGGGTGGCACAAAATTTGGTAAAGAAATGCGTGGTTCCCCTGAATGCCTTCCAATGACTTTTGACTTTTCCTCTAGCGCCACCCTGAGGTAGACATTTGTGGTGAGGAGTTAAATGTCTACTATTGGATGGATAGTTGTAACTGAACGTTGCATCCACTTTTGTTCAACTTGCCATATCTAGTGCACCTAAGAAAAGTTGTCACCCCCTTGGAAGTGTTCATCTTTTGTTTTTTCACACAGTGAAACAGTGAATCAAAGTAGGTTTAATGTCTTTTTTTCACCGAGCAACAGAAAATAGTTCGATACCGCTGCTTCAATTAGCGCTGACCAACATTTCCTAGAATTTGACAAGATCAAGAGAACAGACATGGACTGAATGCCTGTAGAAACTGCCTTGTGGCTGCATTGCATTGAGATAAAGCTGATATCTGTTCCTCTGCTACCATTGATTTGATTTTGAAGCTTTTGCCCCAGTACCAACAAAATATAAATCTTTATTTAAACAGCAATGTCACAGAAATGCAAGTGCCAATGCCAATAGTGCACATTTTGATACCACTGTATTGATTAAGCTGGATTTTGCTTTTGAAAAGCGTCTTAACTGGCAGAGACGGGGTCTTGGTTCTTAGACACACAGAGCCACAGCCTGAGACAGCAATAAGCTACGGGGGGGGGGGGGGCTGAAAGAAGCCAGAGGTGAAAATTGTCTTCAGGCTGCTCTTAGGGAGTGAGAAGCTGAGGCTGCATCAGCTTCTGCACATCAGTAGTGGGACCCGGGGTGCTGTTGACAGAACCGAGCTGACAGCATGGGCTGATGAGACACATTCTCACTACTAAAGTAAACAGGAAGAGCAAGCGTATTCTCCACGGCTTAAGCTTGGCCTCAGACGCGGAACAAGTGCAAATGAAAAGTCTGGAAGTATACAGGAACTGTAAAAAAGACTTGACAAAGGGAACATTAGACGATGTGGGGGAGGTTGCCGATTTTTTTTAATTTTTTTTTCCTCTCCAGGATTTAACCAAGTGCTGTGGAGAACCTTGAGTGGAGTGTCTTCTGCCAAGATTTGCTCAGTCCTTTCCCTGACAGAAAATCTCGAGGGGGGGGCTATTGATTTGAAGGCAGCCATCAAGGCAGTATGGATTTATTAGCACAGAGAATGGAAAAAGGCAGGGGGCATGTATCATCACATGGATCTTATTATTGGAAGAAACGCTCTGTGTGTGTGTTCCCTTAAAGCAGTGATTCTCAACTGGTGGGTCGCGACCCAAAAATGGGTCTCGGACCTGTTTTCAGTGGGTCGCGGGCGTATGCATGACAAAAAAAAAAAAGTTGTAATTTTATTTTGAAGGGCATTTTTTATGCAGCGGAATTATTCCAGCATTTACGGCACTTGTTCAGCAGTGCAGGAAAAACACCGACCAATGGGTTGTGAATCACATCACGTGATGCAGCTCAGCCAATCAAATATGGCCATTCTGACAAGTTTCCTGACTTGAGTGAGATGTACAAACACCACACACGGGGAGAGACGAGGATACAGAGAGCAGAGCAGGACTGTTGAGGTGAGAGTTGTGGTGAAAGTCAAATCATAGGATGATCTCCAAAAGAGAGAAATGTCCAGAGAGACCAGAGTCATTAGACTCTGACTGGACAGACTCATATAGGTGAATTCTTCCAACACTAATTTCTCTTTTTAGAAGATGAGAAAAATATAATATTTTGGCTTTTTCACTTCACTCTGAATGAACTGAATTTAAAGCTGCAGGGCAATTCAGTGAAAATAACTTTTCTAAAATGAATTTCGTTACGTAATTTATTTTTATATCCATTCGTTATTTTACTTGAAATAAGAATAACATTTATTTATGTATTTCTATGTATTATTTTGTAATCCATACAGTTAAATTTGAAAGCTGAGAATAATAATTGTTAAAATATAATTGATGTGTACTTTCTTTATTTGATTTGACTGGCCGCGACCCAAATTATTTATATGTATGTACGTATATATAAATTATATATATAAATAAATAAATAATTTGGGTCGCGGCTTGTCATTAAGGGGTGATGGTGGGTCCCGCAGCCAGACCAGTTGAGAACCACTGCCTTAAAGTATTGCTTTTTAAAGTAGGATCCTTTAGGAATTGTTTAAATCACACTAAGCACTGTTTTTCCTCTGGTGTGAATTGATTGGTGCGCACATGAACACACACGTACACACATGTCTCTTGGAGTTTGGCTCGAGGAGGGTAATACATTGTGTATCAGCTGACTGGCTACAATTATGATGAAGTATGTCTTCTGCTGGCTTCAATGCTGAGAAGAGGCAATCGTGTCTGACATGGTGTATTATATGTGTCCTCTTTTACAAGTCTATCCTGTAGCTATTATGTGCAGGTACTTTATAGTCCGATATGGGGTAGTACCCACTGTGTACAAAACGTCATATACTATAGCAGGATGATGTACTTTTTTCTGTTATGTTTTCCTCCCAAGGTTGGAGGAAAAATGCAGCAGTGCATTTCTCTGAGCATGAATGAGATATTATACCGTGGAATATGCCAGACATAAAATGTTCTGAATTCTGAATGCGTCTTTGCGATATGGCAAAACATAAACAACGTTTCCTACCGGGTAATGTTGATGTATATTGAAATATGAAAGCGTAAATTCCCAAGAAGTAAAGTAAAAATCTGAATTGTTTGAGCTGCAAAAATTAATTTGAATAATAGATAAATAAATTGTACGAAATCAAACCCGTTTATTGTATATTTATAACTGAATTGCAGCTATT